CTTCTGAATTTGAACTTCTGAGGGGAGACACATTTCTAAAATGAGGCTTAAGAAGCATGATTCCTCTAGTGCTGCTGAAGGTTTGAGCAAGCCAAGTGCAGTCTGACCTCCCAGGCAGCTGGGAGATGTGTTACATAGCTTAAATGTCAGAGAGGATCAACTGGAGGAAGGAGAGATTTATTTGAGCTCATGGCTCTGAGATTTCAGTCCATGGTCAGTTGGGCCCATTGCTTTTTGGGTCCAAGGTGAGGCAGAACAACAGGTGGGGAGTGGGTGGTAGAGCAAAGCTGCTTACCTCATGGAGGCCAGGAAGCAAAGAGAGCCAGAAAGAGGAAGAGGCCAGGGACAGGATATACCCTTCCAAGTCATGTCCCCAGTGCCCACTTCCCTTAATCAGGCTCCACCTTCCAGTTTCTACCACCTCCCAATAGTCCTTTCAATTATGACTCCATCAATGGATCAATCCATTGATTAGGTCAGTGCTCTCATGATCCAATCATTTTCCCAAACATTGCATTATGGACCAAGCCTTCAATACATGAGCCTTTTCGGGGATACTCCATATCCAAATCACAACAGGAGCTCCTGCGGTGGCTTCAATACCACAGATTTCTACCTCTGTGAGACTTATTTATTAGTTTTTAAATGTAGAGCCCAAATCTACCTCCTGATAACCTCAGCCCACCTGATCCAACTTTGCCTTCTGGAGCTCCAACAACCTGTCTTCTCCTGTCAAACCTGGAAATACTTCCACTTTCTCTTCCAGGTACTGAGCATTTAGACTTCCAAAGCTAACTGCCTGTCTCCACTCAAGTCAAAACTCAACACTGCACTTTTATGTGATCCATGGTGCCTGACTGGTGTGACAGGGGCACAGCCTCCTGGAACATTCCCAGCTGTGCACAGCAGGCTGCATTCTACACAACCCAAGCTCCTGACCAAGCTCACTACACACCACTAGGCCAGGTCTCCTAGATTTGACTCCAGTGCTGTGGACTTATTGGACCCTGGGGCCCCTCTGTTTTCACCTATCAGCCTCCATCTCCTCCTGGTTCCTGCAGGGTGCTGTGATGGTGCAGATGTGGAGTACTGATTCCGTCACTCAGCACATCAGCTCTCCCTAATGACTCCATGTCATCTGCAAGTTTGATAAGCATGCCTCTGATGTCTTTATCAGCTGCAGATTCTACTACTCGGCACACCAGGGGCAATGGCCCACCACGGCCTTCCTCCCAGTTGACACAGAAGCACTCATTCATTCACACTTCGGGGCTGCTGGCACTTTACCAGCTGTGACCCCTGCCTCCTGGAGCTTTTCCAAATCTTTGTCCCAGCAGGAGCAGAAACTCTCACCTCCCAGTACAATCAATGTGAGACTCCATGTATGAGAGGGAGGAGGGCTGCTCTGCCTGAAGCTGGGGTGGTGCTTGCTCAATCTGTACACCTGCCCCTGGGCAGCACCAATCAGGATCAGGAAGTCCCATTATTGGATGGGATGCATGAGGCTGACTCACAAAACCAAGAAGACGGGTGGGAGATAAGACAAGTCTCCAGCCCAAGGCCAGCCCTACCCTACTGGTCCACGTGCATGAAGTAAGTGGACAGAGGACAGAGTGCCCAGGCCCAGTGGGGAGGACAGAGGAAAATTCAAGAGACATGTGGAGATGTGTATGCGTGCTCACCGTTAACAGCATGGGGAAGAGGAGCTCTGCTGAGCCATCTTTCACCACCTATGACACAAACTCCACTGAACTTAGGATCCGAGTCACTGGACACAGTGCCCTGTCTCTCCAGGGACCCACAGCATTGGAAGGAGGACTCTGCATCTGGTTTGGCTGTGAGCATTTTCTACAATGGCAGAAAGGCACAGACAAGAAGCTCCTATGTCTGAGGGCAGTGCTTGCCTCTGCAAAGAGAAGACAGCACCACTACGACACAAGGTAGGCCTGGAATGACGGCCCATCACCTGGAAAAGGTCCCCTGAATGCCCCTTCTGTCTGGAAGTCTTTGAAATCTGAGTGAAGACATAAGAATGGAGTAAGGACACATGTTTTACCTTTAAAACGAAGGCTTAGGGTTCAAGAAAGCAACATGTCTGCTACCAAACCCTCCTTCCCTCTTCCTTCCAGCTCTGAGATCTGTGGGGAGATTGTCCAGGTGGCTTGGACCCAGTTTGCCTCCCCGCCACCTCCTGGTTGGTCAGTAGAGGGCGCTGCGCCACCACTCTCCCAGCAGCCTTGGTTTTGATCCTGTGTCCACACAAAGACCACACTTTAACATTTAATATTCCATAAGGAAACAGAACAAATCACAAACTTTGCTTCTACATGCAATGATATCACCTATATAAAAGTACACAGAAAAAAAAGACAAAGGAATAGTGACACGAGGTTATTACCATCTGCTCACTGGATGTGGAATTTGGCTTCCCTTTGTCTATACTGTGCTGATTTCCTACAAGCTTGTATTGTTCCCATGGCTGAAAAGACCCTGCAGCACTCAGGGACTCAGGAGTCATCAAGCACGTTGGCCTTGCTCCTAGAGGAACACACGCTCTGGAACAGAACAAGGGCTTGGGCCCAGGAGGGTGCTGTGCCGAAGGAGCAGGGAGATCTGGCCCCACCTGCACAGGGCTTCCAAGGTGACCACCATATGGTCTTAGCCCAGCATTCAGAGAGGAGAGCGCTGCCCAGGGAGAAGAGAAGGCTTCCTAGGAGAGGAGTTGCTGAGCTGAGATCTAAGGCAGAGGCTGTGAGACACACCTGACACACAGGTAGCACGTGAGTAAAAGCACAGAAGCAAGACACAGGAAGGGATGAGGAGGTGCCATTTTGGCTTAAAATCTGGGGCTTGGAGCTGGGAGACAAAGGTAGAAAGTCACGGGACTGGATGTGGAAGCCTTCTTAGTCCAAAGAGGACTCAGCTCCAGGCGGTGGTGGAAGTGCAGCGCCCGGACTCACCTCCAGAGGGAAGGCTGGAGTTTACAGAAACCTGATGCCTACCAGAATAAAACAGCATACCCATACCCGTTCTTTCATAAGTCTTCAATGGAATATCCAAATAAATAACCTGCGTTCCATTTTTTTAAATCAAAAAGACTGGATAAGAACACCAAAACCCCCTACAAAAGACAAAAAAAAAAACACTCTAAATTGGGAGGCTCACATAGGTGTGCACACCACCTATGACTCACCACACACACAGAGAGAGAAGAGCTTGGGACAGACAGGGATTTTACCTGGAAGCATTAACATACATTCAACAATCCCACTGCACACTGGCTGACCTAACTCAGCTTAATTAGAATACACTTTATACTGACTATTTTGACATTTGTTTCATTTGGCAAGTAAAACAAAACTGATTCAATTTCCCTGTAGCTACTGTAAACCATAAATTGCACAACAGAGGTTATAAAATATGTAAGCCTTGTAAACACTTTGTTCTGACGTGCTACCCTCAGTTCTGCTGGGCTTTCAGTAGCCAGGTACTCCTGGACCACCTGCTTCAGACTCCAGATGCAGGTGCCCCCTGCTTTCCTACTGACTGCAAGCTTCTGGGAGAGCCTTCTCCCTCTTTATCTGGAAGCTCAGGGGCTCCTTTATCATCTAACAGGCATTTAATACTTGCCGGGAGGTGGTGCCCATTTCTGGGCTCTTCCAGACCATGTATGTCAACAGGGAGCAGCAGTAACTACTTCAGGGCAACCAGGTCTCTGTGGGGCTAACTAGCCTCTGTGATAAGCCCAAATTGGAGCTGAACCCCCGCACAGGTGATGGATGAGAGATGACCCTGGCTTAGGGGATGGGCCTCAGCACAGGTGCTTAATTTAGCTGACCCTGAGCTCAAGTGATGGATCTGAGAGGACCCAGAGCACAGGTAATGGTGACCTTGAGCAGTGCTCCCAGGACAGTACTGTTACGGTGCTGGTGAGTGAGAAGAGAAAGAACACATGTCATTGCACTGGGCCAGCCTTGCAGTCCTGAGCTGAGGAGAGGCTTAGCTGCTCACCCTGTAGCTCCAGGATGCTCACTGGCTCTTCATCCTTCTTTGTACCAACGAGAAACTGAAAACTATTTCCTAAGTGTCAGGGGAGTCAGGGCTAATTGTGCTAAACTCTACACTTGGTAGAGTTTCTTGTGAAACTGTCACAAGAAACCCTGAATTGTCTTAAAGGAGGACAGTTTTTGGGGCTGGGGACTCACTATGGTGGAGCTCTGTGAACGCTCACCTCTATTCCCCCATGTTGGAGCTCTTTAAAATGCCTTCTTACTTATGTTGCATCAATCCTGAAATGGCGTTGCTAGTCATTCTTGCTGGTTGCATTTGTCACCTATTCTCAGACAAACTTGTCTGTTTGTTCCTTGCACTCAAATGACTTACTGCTAGTGATATACTACTTTTATTTCACAGGGTTCTTTGTACCATCTGTTTTTTTTTTTTCAAAAAAGTATAGAGACTATTACTCCCTCCATCATAACTGCAGTTTGATCACTTCTGTCTCTTTATGAGATCAATTATTAAAATCAATGCAATATCCTGAAAAACTTCCCACTTTTCTCTAATACCTCTTTCTTAGTTTGTAGCTCTTCAGGAATGGAACAAGATGACCATGAATGTGGTTACTGATCAGCCCTCCTGGGTTTCAAGTGAGTTGCTGGCTGAGACAGAGAGGAAATTCCACCTTCTTGAGGCCAGGAAGCCCAAAAGGCCACATGCTTCTGTGTGCATATCTACAAGCTCTTCTGAGGAGCAATTTTAAGTTGCATAGTCTGCTGTGTTAGGAGCCTGCAGCGTATGTGCAAACTAGAACCAGAACGGCCCTTACCATGCAATCCACAGACTAACCGGGTTTTTATGTCTTTATAAGGACACAAGTTTTCAGCTCTATTTTGCACTATTTCAGCAGCTATGAAGTGAACTTGTTCTAAAATGAGTGTGGTGCAGTGGGACCCGAGACCACCTGAGTGAGTACAGAAGACAACATCACAAGGCCTCACCTGGGCAGGTTGGGTGCTGGGGTGGAAGCAGCTAATGATTGTGAAGGCGTGGTGGGTTGAGAGGAATCGTGATTTCTTGGCACTCTGCCCATTCGATACCAGATCCCCATGCTGTTCAGTTCCCTTCAGGAGAAAAGAGAAATTTTCATGGCTCTGTTAAGCTTGGAGCATTTGTCTGAGACACAAAGCAAACCAACTCATTTAATAGTATCAGTCTCAAACCCCAGGGGCCCTATCCTTCCCCATATAAGATGGGTCACATTACGTTCCTTCATGCCCTGGGTGTTCCAGCGTGAGGGCAACTGTGTCAACTAGGCAGGCCATGGTGCCATGGCCACTTCTTCACTCATTCTGAGCCTGCCTTCCGGCTTCCTCCCTTCTCAGTGGGAAAAGCTTTTCATTTCACCATCTCCTTGTTGGGTGTTGTGTGATGCACAGAGGATGCCCTCCATCCCCCAATGTTGGGATGCAGCCCTCCCAGCCAGGTGTCACCTGCAGGTGGCCTCACTTCAGGGTCAGTGGGGGAGGCACATTCAAAGCACAAAATCCAAGACACGTGCCCCACAAGCCATGAAATGGACAGGCACCACATCAAGCTTCCTAAGTCTTAGTATGGCAGCTGCTTGAAGCCTGACCCCACCCTGCAGAGTGACGATTATGAGACAGGCACATGCGTGCTCCTGGGAAGTGAACCAAGATCAGATACGGTTACTTCAGCCATATCCAACTTCTCCACTGCCCCACAAAACTGTGTCTTCGGGACCAGAAGCATCTCTTCAAAAAATGAAGAACCTTCTGTGGAACCTTCCAGTAAGCTTGTCAGTGCACCCAGAAACTATTCTACACCTCATTTCTGTCCAACTGGCTGCTCCAAGTCTACTCATTTCCATCACAGCCTCGGGCTGCCAGGCTCAGAGCCTTCAAGTGGGAGGTTTCTGCCTCCGGTGGTCAACCCCACAGCCTGTGAAGGGACAGGTAAGTGACTTAGAGTTCTGAATCCTGAATTCTCTTTCCTCTCTTAAAACAACACTGCGACTGTTTTCCTCTGGAAAAAAATTTTTTGCCCAAGATAAAAGAACACTTTATCTTTTCCAAGTGAAATAAAGGGAAGAAAGATTCCAGTTTTGCTTATCAAGACAAATATTGATAAAAATCTATTCTTTAGAATTGTTTAAATTGGTCAAAATTGCATCTTTTTACAATAGTATGGTTTGTAATTAAAAATATAAAACGTAACTGAAATTAGACTTTTAAAGTTCACTACTAAATAGCTGTTTCCCACTATGGTATGCAAATGGCTGCTTTTAAGGTAAGTGTGGTTATTCTCTTAACTGTTTCCTGCTCCTCTAACCCTGTTTGCATAATTAGTTTAAATCATGTTGCACAAAACAGGATTTCTAAGACTGTAGGAAGGGGGGGTGATCACCGAGTCCTGCTTTTTTCACTTTATTTTTTGGTGCAGGGTATGGAACACAGAGCCTCGTGCATCAGTGCTTGTGCTCCACCATTGAGCTACACACACCCACAGGTTCTCGACTCAGAACATCTGGATCCATAGCTGAACAGTCTAAAGAAACTGCGAGTGCAGTTTCTAATATCTAATTCTGTGATACCTGCTCCCCACACACTTCACATACACGGGCAGCCAGGAACACAAGGAAAGGCCCTGGCTTAGAGAGTATGAGGTGGCTCTGGGCTCAAATGGACAAGAGCAGCACAGAGACCAAAGCAGGTCCAGGAGGCTGACTCAGACACTGGGCTATGAGGATGAATCTCTGGGAACCCAAGTGATGCCTGCAGAGCCTGGGTCGGGGAAGAGGCCCGTGGCCATGGGGTGAAGAACATCTGCTAGGTTGGTTCATCTGCAGCCCAAGTTTCAACTTGACTTGAGTATAGTAAACATCTATTTTCTTTTGGACATCCAGCAACTCTCCCTATCTCTGACTTTTTTTTACTTCCCTCCATATTTTAGGTATAGCCACCCCTCATTGTTCATTCTTGATTTCCAGTGGAGCTGACCCTGCTTCCAGTTCAGCCCGGTCAGTCAGAGAATGGCCCTTTCCAGACAACAGTGGCCAGGCTGCACCTGACCCTCGTTACATCAGTAAAGACCACCAAGACTGAATTCTAGAACTTCAATGTGAGCTGCATGAGTGCAGATTTGCTCTTTGCCTCTCGACCTGCACCCTGAGGATGGGTGGGAGAAGGGACAGCACCACCAACGCCTCCCCAGAGGAAGCAGGGGTCAGAATGGAGTCCTCCAGCAGGACTTGGAGACAGGGAAAGTGTGTCCTCAGCATCCTGAGCTCCTACTTTCAGCCTCCTGAAGCTGATCAGCCCCTGACCTTTTGTTATGTCAGCCAACAGATTCTTCCTTTTCATCCTGTCACTTACAATCATAAGGGCGCAGAGTGAAATGCTGAGCTTCAACTGTCTTTGAAATTGATGCAGCAGCTTCAGGGCCAGGCCTATGCTCTGTACTGAGGCTGCCTGTGAACAAGACACAGATGGGCCGAGCCCCCAGCAGTTCTCTGCTTATTGAGGAGACAAACATCAAACCAAAAATTGCACACCACATTTTCACACAGTCATGTAATAGCTGTGTCTCTTCCTGACTTGGAAACCTCCAATGGCTTCCCAGTGTGCTGGAAATAAAATCCAGACAGCCACTATGTCCTAGGAGGTCCTGTGAAATGCTTATCTCTCAGCCCAATGCCTATCCCACCCACACGTTCCCACTTCCACAAAGACTCCTGCTCTGATACTGAGGTCTCTACTTAGTTCACTTTCCTGACTCCTGGCTGAAGTAGTCGCAGGTCACCCCATGGTGCATTTCCTTCACTGTCTGAGGTTCTCTCATAGATCTTCTTGCTTACTGCTCATTTCTCCCTTCTAGAACAGCAGCTCTGCATGAGCAGGGCCTTTGCCTCTCTCTCCCCACATACAGTGTCTGCCCAGTGTACGAAATAGGCCTTAAGATGCCATGGAGTAAACAGCAACACAGGGAGCTGCTGGCTAGGACACAGAGGGACCTGGAGAGAGACTGCTCTGAAGGTCAGGGAAGGGAAGGCTCTAGGATGGAGCACACAGCATGAGGAGAAGTGTGGTGAGGCTGGTGTCCTGATGTGCTGGCGGGGCTGCAGCTAGCAGGAGGGCAGTGAGGACAGCCATGGCTGAGAGGCAGATGGGAGGTCAGTGGCTGAGAGCCTGGTGAGCCGCACACTGGGTCCTTAGGACTCGTCCCCAGGAGTGGCCTGAGCACTCTCGGGGGAAGCAGCAGATGTGACTACATGGGTGACTCACCCAATGAATGTGTACTGAGGAGGCGCCTGCTTGGTCCGGCCCATGATCCGAATATCACAAATGGCAGCTTCCGTGGAATCCCGGGGGATAAACTTAATGCACAGCCTCTTCTTTCTAAAAGCCACCTCCTCTGGAGAAAAGGACAACAGAGAAAGCATGAGTCACAGGGATGCCCCACCTCTGCTCTGAAAATCACGTCTTCCTGCACGTCCCCTCTGTGCTGCAGAAGTGCCAGGTCATCCTTACCACTGGACCCCCTGCCTTCCCTGGGTCTGTCATGGCCAGGCTGTGACAATAAAGTACATCAGTCACCTGCTCCACACCCAGGACATGACCCAATCAGCCAGCCATGAAGGGGTCCCAGGAGTCCACACAGCTGTGCAGTAAACCCGGGAGGCGGTTCTAAAGCCCACGAGCTCAGAAGACGCCCACACACAGCCACCCAAGCATCAGCACTTCCACCACATGCGCTTCTTGTCTTAACTCTGTATTCACATTCTCGAAATCCTCAAACATACCCCACAAACATGCCCCCACCATCCCAGTTCAGTGAGGTCCACAGGGAACAGGTTGGCTCCAGCTCTTCCCCAGTCCGTAGTTTTGCTGGATCCTCAAGATGACTCCCTGGCACCACGTAGTTCCCCATCACCATCTCAGTAGGCATCAATGACAGGTGCTTTTATACAGCATGACCACCTGCTATTACCATCCCTAATACAAACTCCTTGATATCACTGACAGTCTCCATGCATGTTTTCGCCATTATGTCAAAAACATCATTGTTCTGTTGGTTTGTCTAGATCAAAGTCCAGGCACTGGACTTGCACTTTGTTGGGTGGTTAGTTCCCTTTGGTCTCTTTATTCTGTCCTGATCTCCCCCTGCTTTCTCCGTCTTTGCAGCATACATATGCTCAAGAGATTGGGCCATTCCCTCCTGTGACAGAGCTAGAGCTGAATTAGGATAAGCAAAGTGTGTCCTTCCCACTTCTGATGGGTTCTTGTGTGGGGGGCTGGGACAGTGTTCACCAGTCCCCAAGAGCTGTTCCTGGAGCAGTTTTTCTAACACTCCGGCAACTGTTGCTAAGATCCAAGCCTTTGTAACAAGTTTCAAAATGGTGATTTGCTAGCTGCCATTCCTCCCACACTAATCAGTTGCCATTCTATACACAAAATAACTTTTCTCAACCTACTAGTTGGCCTAATGGATATAGACTTTATATAGGAAAGGAGAGACTCTTTTCTCTCACTTGTCAAATCTTAGTGTAATGAGTTGGTACCCTAGCAACCACCATGGTGACCAGTGAGGTTTACTTTGTCATTGTTGTTCATTTGTTGTTTTGAACACAAACTTCAAACAGTCCATGAGTCAGTCAATTGGGTCTTGGTTGAAATCCCAACTCCACCATTTTCTGGCACTGTGACCTTTGGAGAGTTGCTTAAACCCTGGGCATCAGTTTTGTTATGTGGAAAAGGAAGCTGGTAAAATCCAGCATCCTTAGTGGATGCACAGTGATTATATATGATTCACTTGACCCATGCCTGGCACACAGTATGTGCTCAATAAAAAACAGTCATGAGAGTTCTTGCCATCAAAATGATAAGTAAGCCTCTAGTGTATAATCAATGTCTGTGCTTGTACTGACTTTCCAGACCTTCTGGCTCTGTGGTAGGAAATCCGCACATTATAGCACACTCGCACAGAGGAACAGAGAAGCAGATGAGGGAAGGGCAGACCTGCCCACAGGTTCTATGTGGGGAACAGAATCAGTGGTGTCATCTGGTTCTTAATGTCTTGGGTGGGGGGTTGTCTTTTTGAAGAAATTCAGAAACACTGTGGGTTCTTTCCCCAGGTGTGGATACTGAGGGCTAGATGAGATCTACAAGCGGAAATAACGGCCTACATTCAGACCCCAAGCACTGTGCCAAATGGGATAGGGATCCTGGAGGCGGGGAGGGAACCACAGCAACCTTCACTTTCAAAAACTACCAGCTGCTTAAGATCATCTCTGAAAGTGTGAAGAAGGCGAGGCCCTCCCTCAGAGTAAGGTAAAGTACAGGTGTTTTACTTGCTTTTGTCGAAGTGCTCTTGGTCCCACTCCTCCATTTGCAGCCCCCTGGGGACCAAAGCATTACACATGCTTTGGCAAGCCTAATTTTAAGTGAACACGTTCTACACAGTCAACAGAAATGTGTTCAGTCAAGCTAATGGACACAGAGGAAGTACACAGCACTTTACTGAAACAGTCTTCCAGTTGATAAGTGCTATGTGTATTTGAAAGTAATTACAGATGTCTCACCTTTTTGGCTGACTATAAAATCAGGGCCTTAAATACTCCCATGGGACACAGGGCTGCCCACAGGGCTCTTTGGCCCCCTGGGTGAAGCCTCAGGAAAACGGTCCTGTGACTAGAAAGGAAGAGGCCCCTCTTCTGAGCTTCCATTCTGTGCACCTGGTGGAGAGCACAGTCCCTGACCTCAGAATGGCCATGGATGGACAGCAACTGATGTGGCCCCATACATGGGGGACAGGCTTCCCAACCAGGACCACTGGGCCCCAGCAGCAGGCCATGGACCCAGACAGAATTCAGCCCAGGGCCTCCTCATTGAACTGTTCAACAAACTGAGAGGAAAATGCAGAATGGGGAATACCCTGTGTCACTGCATTGTATCAATACAGAGACAGCATAAGTCAATTAACCATAAAAAACGAACATTGTACAAAGTCTAAAGCTATGAAAAGTGTGTGTGGGGGTGTGGAATTAATATAAGTCTAAAAGGCAACTTTAGTTCATAAGCAGACAATTCATACAAGAATAAGCAAAATCGGCAAACACGTGTAAAAACGTTAGCCTTGTTAATAAATAATGAGGTAAAAATTAAAGCTAAATAAAATCTGGACACCTATGTGGGGAGGACTGTGGAAGTCACACCTAAGCTTATGCCATTAGCAGAAGTGTTATTTTTATTTCTGGACGTCAATTTTGCAACAGAGGCCAATAAAGGTGTTCCTCACGGAGGCCATCTATCAGCAAGGCACCCTGTCAGGCAGGCACCTGAGGTGATTCAGAGATGGGCCAAACCTGGATCGTGTCCTCAAGGAAAGGGGAAAGCAGTGAAGACATGAAGAAAGCACAGAAGTGGCAAGGCTGCAAGCTACAAGCAACATCACAGGACAGGACATGGTCCCCTCACTTGATGGCTGAGGAAACTGAGGCCAGGAAGGTGCAGGGCTTTGCCCAGGGTCCCCCAGCAGCATGTGACAGAACTTGACTGAACACTAAGCGAGATGCTCCTGCAACCACAACACGCAGTAGTTTCCCAAAGAGGCAGAGCCAGGGATTCCAGGCAGGCTGAACCCTTCCCTCGGCTTCCCAATGGGACCTGAATTTGCTCTGTGCCCTCCCTCCCTGCAATGAGTCGGTCTGCACCAGGCGCACCACAAGCAGCAGAGGACGCAGACAGGGTCCTGACCTCTGCCAGTTTACAGCACATCCTGGGAGGTTGCCATACAGGTCCTTGCTGGCAGCCCGGCTCCGCTCTGGCCTGCACTCCTCGTTCATCTTCCCACCCTGAAGCCTGCAGTGCCTGACCTCAACTATCTATGGAGAGGAGCGTGAGCTGGTGCAACATGGCACAGTATCAGAGACTGTTTCACATAGGTGGACAAGTTGACCTTACCCTTCAAGGACACAGGGTGTGTACTTTCCGAGCAGAGGGGAGGATACTGTAGGCAGGAAAACATTAACCCAGATACTAGAAGTAGAAGAGAAAGGATTGTGAAGAGAGCACAGTGAGGCTGGGTCTGCAGAGAATCCAGGTGTGGCGACGAGGAACACGCTTGGGAAGGTGGGGTGGAGGCCTACAGAGGACCTATGACCTAAAAGCCTTCAGCATTTGGAAACTCGTCACCAGGACATCATTTAAAAGCTACACATATCCAAACTGGCCTGTGAAGTCAACACCATTCCCATCAAAATCCCAGCAGAAACTGACCAAATCCCAAAATTCATGTGGAAATTCAAGAGACCCAGAATTTTTAAAAAAAGAAGAAAATTGAAGGAGTCATACTTCTGATTTTAAACCTTGTTAGCAAGCTCTAGTAATCAAGACTGTGTGGTAGCTGCATAAACAAAGGTGAATAGCTCAGTGGAAGACAACTAGAGTCCAGAAGTAAAATCTCGAGTTCATGGCTAAGGGCTATTCGACACTGATGCTAAGACAGTTCAATGGGGTAAAGAACCACCTTTTCAACAAATGGTACAGGGGCCACTGTGCTACATATGCAAACAAACAAACAAACACAAAACAAAAAACCACCACCAACAACAAACAAAGTTGGACCCTATCTCACAGAAATTAACTGAAATGGACCAACGAATAAGAGTAAGAGCTAAAACTATAAAACTCTTAGAAGAAAACACAGGCCTAAAACCTAGTGACCTCAGACCAGGCAGTAGTTTTGTAGATTTGAAAGCAAAGGCACACCCAACAAAGGAAAACAGAGACAAGTAGAACCCCAACTTGGAGTTGTCTGTTTCAAAAGACACCATTAAGAAAATAAAGAGTATAAGTAAACCATGAGGGAAAGCCTTCGAATACAGGAAAAACTGGCACAGGACAGAAACTCTATATGGAAAAAGTGAGAGAAAGCCTCCATTCATCCCACTTCCCTTTACCAACATGAAAGAAGTTCATTCTAGCCCTCACGAGAGTTCACAGTTTTAAATTTGTTATTAGTGAAACATGGGATGTTATCTGCAGTTACCTTCATTCCCTCCACAGGTATGACAGGTGATGGTACAAGTAGAGGAGGTAACTAGAAGAGTTGTGCTAAAGGGTTCATTATACTCTGTGGTTTTTCACACTTTGGCAGTGGAAGAAGGTAGGTCACAAGTTTGAGCCACTTCAAGCTATATAGCTCCCTGGGCTACAAGGGAAGATGCTGTATCAATGACTAACAACAAAAAACATGTCATTGGGGAAATAGGACAATGTTGCACATTTTAACAAAATGAGTAAAGGTGCAGTAAAAATTCCTCATGCAGTTGAATGCTGTAAAATAAGTAAAATGATTAAGTTGTAAATTTGTGCAGAATGTTCCAAACCACGCAACCAAAGGGAATATTCTAATAGATATAGGCATCTTGTGTATCCTTCCTAATGAACTGTGGCCTGTTTATTTCTAATTTTTACTCCTGAGGAAAAGCTCCATGCTGACTCATTCTGGAGTCTGCCTATAAACTTGGCTCCATGGGAACCTGTGGCAGGACCAAGCTTAAACTAGTATTTGGACACTACCAACACCCCGTGTGAAACAACAGCTCAGTAAGAGGAAACTAGGTGCATTAAGGTGATACTCTTTTGTAAGTTGTGTTAAAGTGTTGTATTTGAGTCTCATGGGGACTGTCTTAAATCAGTTGATTAGGTATTTATGCTTTGACTTAGAACTGTGTTGGATTGATGAGTACATTCATATATTGTAAATTTCCAACTTGGCTTAAATTTTATGCAGCATTTGAGTAATAAATGCACATCATTAATGTGTCAGTGAAACATAAGTGTTGCTGGGCTATCACCTGCATCACCATGGTTATCACCTGTAATCCTAGCTACTCAGGAGAAAGAGATGAGGAGTCATAGTTCAAGGCCAGCATGGGCAAAATGAAAGTGAGACCTTATCTCAAAAATGACCTTTGCAGTTACTGATCACTCCTTTCAGTCTTGCTGTCTTGCTATGTATTTTATTTTTTACTGATATGATATGTTTTTATTTCTTTTTCTTTGTAATTGTGTTTCTATTAGAAATGTGTTCTTTTATCATTACATAAGATATTACATAAAATATCTAATGGTTATAATGTGTAAAATTTAGCAAACAAAAACTTAGCTGTAATTGAATAAAAAAATTCTTACTCTAAAAAAAGAAAGTAAAAAGAAAGCCTACAGAATGAGAGAAAAGTTTTGCCAATCATTTCTCTCCTAGGGACTTGTATGTAAAATGCATTAAAATATTCCTAAAGCTCAATTATAAAAAGACAACCCAATTAAAAAGTTAGCAAAGGATCAGAACCAACATTTTTCCAGAGAAGACATGCAAAAGCCCATTAGGGAAGTGCAAATGAAAACTACAATAAGATATCACTACACACTCACTAAGATAACTAGAATAAAAGAAAAACAGCTCCTCTGAAAAACAGTTGGGAAGCTGGGCCTGGTAGAGCACACCTGTAATCCCAGCTACTGGGGAGGTAGAGAACAGGACGATCTCAATCTGAGGCCAGCCCAGGGAAAAAGTGCGAGACCCTATCTGAAATAACTGAAGCAAAAAAGGGCTGGGGGCATGACTCCAGTGAGAGAGTGTCTGTCAAGCAAGTGTGAAGCCCTGAGTTCAAACTCCAGTTCTGCCAACAAATAAACAAATAAAAAAACCCAGTTGGGCAGTTCCTCAAAAAGTGAAACATGGAGATCCCATGTGACCCAGTAATTCCATACTTCGGTACAGACTCAAGAGAGCTAAAAGCATGCCTGACAAAAACCAGCAGGCCAATGTTCATAGCAACATCACTCATAGAGGTCAGAAAGTAGAAACTGCCCAAAGGTCCGGCAGTTGAGTGAATAACCAAACTGTGGTACAGCTGCATGCTGGCACGTTATTTGGCAATAAAAGATGAAACAACCTCGAGAGCATGATGCTAAAGGAAAGAAGCCACAAAAGATGACAGATGGCTTGACCCCATTCATAGGACTACCCAGAAGAGGCCAAGCCATGTGAGGGCAGTCAGTGGCTGCCTACAGATGGCGGGGTGGCAGGGAGGGGCAGGAAGCAATGTAGAGCGACTGACACCACACACAGCATTTCTTCTGTGGTCATGAAATGTTCTAGAAGTGATTCTGGTAGTGGTTCCCAAATCTGTAAATACTCTAAAAAATCACTGAATCATGTATTTTAAATGGGTGAATTAAATGGTATTTGAACGATATTAGTAAAGTAGTTACAAAAAACCCGTACATAAATGCATGAACTCCACCTGTGCCAGTGCCTTGTACACATGCTTGTCTGGGCACCACTGGGCCGAGGTGCTGGGGGCTGCGTGTGTCCTGCGTGCTCCCCATGTCTACGCATGAGCGTGACCTTGGGTAAGTTCTGTAATCCCTACAGAGTCATCAGGCCTTGTTTTTCTCATATGCAAAATTGGTATAATAATACCCATTTTCTAAAGATAAATTATATCATTTATGGCAGGGGCTAGCGCACAAGAAACACATGATAAATCTCAGCTATTACGATTATTAGCCAATACATACCACAGCAACCAGCTAGGAGCAATGCATGCATCAAGAACACTGTGCTGCAAGACAGCATGGACTTGCTCCGCCAGGTGACAGTTACAGCAGGTGTGTGGTGTACAGGAAGTGCGAGCAAGAAAATGACAGACAGAAGGTGGGTCCCAAATGGGCTGACTGTGGGAAGTAAAGTGTGACTGACAAAGAGGAGGGCAGCACCTCGTAAGCACATCCCGAGTACGGGAAGAGCGCGCTCTGAATTTTCTTTGTATTTGTTTTTTATTCACCGCTTCACTGTTGTGCATGTCCAACGTTGGCAGCAAGTAACTAAAAGAAGGCAAGTGAAGCTACTTTCCGCCACACTAAGGAGGTTAAATATCCAGGGGCTGTGAGGCACCGTCTCACCACCACTGCCACCAGAACCGCAGGACCAGAAGCACAGCAGCCTGGGGGCCTGAGGCAGCTTCTGCTGCATTGGCATTCATAGACATATTTCAGCACTGCTCAAGTGGTCACAATATTTAGTCAAATTCAAGTCTTTTAGACACTAACTTCTACTGTCTTTCTGGTTCAGTTTTCTTGTTTGCTCTACAACCCCACAGTGGCCCATTATGGCCCTTGTAGTCCTGGTGTCTTTTGATTCTACCCTCCTTTTTGCTTCTGGGTTTTGTACCAAGCTTGGGGGCAGTGGCACCAGAGGATGGATTAAAGACGAGTTGTCACCAGATTCCCAGTTCCATTCCTGAGAGAGACCAGTGAGCAGGGAGCACGGTTCTAAGAGAAGAAGGGCCTGCTCATTAACACACTGCCACCCCTGGAGAACCCAGGTGGACAGGCATCACAAGCAGCAGGCCCTAGTCTCGGGCATGCAACGAGACTTCCTGAACTGGTTGCAAAGAAAAATGCACATAAGAATATCCCAAGTCTGGCAGGAAGGAGACTCTTCCCGTGATGAACAGGGCTAAGGGCGACTCACGTGTGTCCACCGTCTCCTGAACTGGGATGAAGCCCACAGGCAGCGTGTCCTTGGCGTCGATAAGCTTCATGTCCACTAACACGTTCCCCAGATGACTCTTGGGAGGAAGAAAAGAGATAAGACTACTCATCTGAACACACCTGTGGTAGATTTGCCATTTTGGCTTCAAGATGCATATTTAACACAAAGGCTCATGCAGCTTTATGACAGCGGGTTAATTAGAGTAGGTGACACTTAATGTTCCCTTGCAGTAACACAGGGACTCTGGTGGCCCCGCGAAGGAGTTTCATGTGAAGAAGGAAGCTCGAAGCAACTCACTCAGACATGGCATTGGTGAGCTGGATGTGTGACGGAGGAAACAATGCAGACAAAACCCAGCAGAGGGCAGCTGTGCACACGACCCTGCACCTGGCTGCCACTCAGCCCTGAGCGTGGCCCTCAAGCCAGCAGGTTTTCAGAAGAGCAGCTTCCTGGGGTACCATTTGTAGGGAGAGGGCTGTTTCTGAGTGGAATGGGGTCCAATCACACCCCCAAGTGATCACCAGGCTGCGTACTGAAACACATTTGGGTTGCTAGGTACATTTTGCAAAATCCCAAGAACCATAAACTAGTACAGTGAAAGCCCTGCTGCTTCAGTAGTACAGTCTTCTGAAATGACATGTGCAAGGGCCTCTTAAACCTTCTATTTGGTGGTGGTATATGGGGTCCACAGTGCACAGTTTCTGTAGCCAGTATAAACCCATCTTTCCAAGACAGTGCACCATTCTGTAATTGCAAGAGAGAATTCTTTTTGAACACGCCAGCACTTGCAGCTCACATTTCATGTTAGAAACAGTCCTAAAGAAATCTGCCCTAAACTTAAACACACGGGGCCATCATGCAGATTTCATTAACATCTTCAGAGTCATTTGCAATCCAGTCCCCCATCTCTAGTCAGAGCCAGTTAAGGAAAGAATGATGGGTCCCCATCCCAAGTCTCTCCTGTTAGGATACTAGCAATGCACTCACATGTCCATTTTCCAGAACTGCGTATCACCAAAGCCCAGCCTGACCCATGCTTGGTTGAACTGTCTGCAGCCTGGACAGCTCCAGCTGGTCAGCCCGTGTTCTGCCCTTGGTGACAACCCCTCTAGCCACTGTTCCGATCTTGCTTAGAGAAGAAGGGCTCCAATTCCATCTCTGTGAACAGGCAGGCCAGACCCTACCTCTACCTGTACCATGCCAACATCTCCAAAAGCCACCAGGGAGTTCCTGCCATCTAAACTAAGCTTGCATTTTCATGCTCTTTTTAACTTCATGTCACTTTAGAATTGTGTGTTTGTGAAGTTCTTTGTTTAATATCTGTCTGTCCACTAAAGCTTAAGAGCCACAGGGACTAAAATGATTTCTGTTCCTGCTAAAAGTCCAAGCCCAGCATAGCTCTTCCCCCACTATAGGAGCTCAATAATTATTTGCTGAATAAATGAATGTTTTGGGCACAGTTTTCAATTCATGGGTCACTGACAATCAGAAATCAAATCAGATTTGCTTGGATGGCAAACCATATCATAAAAATCCTGAAAGTAGGTTTAATAAATACATTATGAGTCAAAGGTACACAAATGAAATAAATTCCTCAAACTGAAATATGAAAGTCCGTGTGGCGAGTGTAACCCATGACTGGTGTTCTCATGGTCTGTCATTGCGAATCTGTTCCTTTCTCCCCACCATACTGCATCTGTCAACGCTTAACATTATTACATCTCAGGTGGCTGGGTCTCAGGGAGACAGTGTACAGCGTGGTTCAGCAAATAGAAAGTGGAGCCTTCCCTAGTGTGGGATAAATCCCTGACCGTGCAGGAAGGTTTGAACTGCTAACCCAACTCGCAAACATCAGCTGCTTTCAGAATTGCCTGATCCAATCTATCATAATTTCTTTCCTTGGCAGTTGCTTTTCTATGTCATCACTGCTTTCTGCATTGAGAAATTAACAACTGGGTATGTTTTGCTGCCCGTGGATGGATGGGCATTCATCAATATCCTTCTCCATCGTCTTCCACGTGACAAGTCGGGTTTTGCAGAAGTCAACTGCAAACCACTTAGCGACCTCACCCTCCACACTCTTCCAGACGTCCCTGATCATAAACCAGAGCATCGGTGGCGCAGACATGAAAATGAGCCCAGCAAACCCTCCTGTGCATACAAAACGGGAGGCTGTGCCGCCAAAGGTTCCTGCAACCCAAGTATGTCCCTCCACGCTGCCGGCTGCCACTGTGCAGGTTTAATATGGTAGGTCTGTGACACCATTAATTTTGCTTGTTCCTCTCCCCTCCCCCACCCAACCTCTCTTTCATTTCCTCCTCATAAATATGAAGAACGTATTCCCAATCCTTGTTGAGCACATGATTCATGCCAAAAGCCCAATGCACACCGACTCAGGGTATTTATATTGTCTCTGGTAGCCAGTGCTTGCTAGTATACTGTAATTATTTTTGACAACCTTGCATTTAAGGTAGCCACAGATAACCAACTTAATATTCAAATGTTCATAAATCCTTCTGTTTAATATCCTCCCTACCTAATCTATGTACATTATTATTACAGGTAATGCAGAAAGTACAGGGCATGAAAAGTGCAATTAATCTCTATCCTTCCCCAGGAAGCAATGTCACTCCAAAGCCAGGTTTCTGTATTAATAGCATTATTGGAAAAAAGGAATTTAGGTTCCAAAGGAGGCTCCCAAAACTCCTACACTGGGAGTCTCAGGTTGCCTAATTAAGAATCTGGTGGGTCTTGAGATCCCCACCCTCCCACACGGTTGTAAACATGACGCTCTGTAAAGCTCTAGCTCAGATGGCAGGGCCAGGACACTGCAAATGATGAATGTGTGCCTGCTCCTGTCTCACACCTGGGCTGACAGGTGGGCCTGCCACTCCCTACTTTGATCCCAGATCAAATTCGATCCTTTGATTTGATTGTCTGGATCCCGTGTAGGGATTTACCTTCCAAAAACAAAACACCTACTTCCCACACTGTGTCAAAGCCAGGCAGCTTCTCTTGCTGTGTTCCTTATCTCCTTACACCCCTCGCCACCCCCATACATGGCTGTGGACCATCTGCAAATGGTGCTCAAATCAGCTTTCTATAACATGCTTACTTGGGACATCAGAAACTAACAAGCCCCAGTGACTTCTCTTTGTCATGTTGGACTTGTCACAGTGACAAGTTCTTCTGCCTAGAGAACCAATGCCCCTCTGTCTGGAAGGGCAAATGCAACAAAAACCAAAGCCAAAAGTGATCACAGAGATGGTGGTTGTCCTCTGAGGCCAATGAATTGAAGCCTTTGTCAGGACAGGTGAGGCTGATTACAGACCAAGAAGGAACACCTAGAAACCACGAGGGCCATGGGTGGGTGGACAGGCTCTTGTCCAAGTCCTCAGGACTTCCTCCTCACAGCCCCAGCTGCAGGGAGTATGCTGACCTTCCGCAGGAAGCAGTGGAGCTAAAAACAGAAAGCACTTTTAAAAAAGAGCCTGGGTAAGCTCCAGGGACAAAAAGGCTGGGGAGGGCCCCATGGAGGTGCAATGGGAAGGACCGGGTGATGGGGCCTACTGACACCCTCCTGAGCCGAATGCCTGGGAAAGCAATGCTGGCTTCGGACTTGTCCCATGGGGTCTCCTCAGTTTCCGAGGAGCTGCACAGATGCACCACAAGCTCCTGGTACTGCAGGCATCCAGGCATCCGCCCTAGCTCAGCGGCCATCTTCCTGGCATTGAAAACGCAGAGAAGACTCCAAGCTTAGCGCCAGCACCTCCCCACTCAGCACAAACTCTTCACAATGAGCTTCCCTTCTTTACATTAGGGGAAAGTTAAAACAATGACTTCTCCCCAGTCCTGACACATTAAGGAATGACTCTCCTGACCAGCAAGCAACAGGAACGGGCTGGGGATGGGAGGGTAAGTCAGAGAGCCCTGTGGCAGCCCACAGTCAGAATGTTGAAGGCTGGACACACCTAGACCTGTGCCAGAGCCCTGAGCTGGGGGCTGTGATGGAGAGGAAGAATTCTCCCCTTCCATGCTTCTGAACAAGAATGTTTAGGGTTATGGTTGGATTATCTTTTAGCCATACTGCTGCTATAATTAAATGCATAAAAATAAATTGGTAAAAAAAATAAGCATTTGTATTAGGAAGAGAAAAACCATTCAGGCCAAAGATAAACCGTCCTCTCTGTAAATGGACATTTGAGGGCTCACTATGTGGGGGCTCGGAAAGACAGGTGACCTATGACAAGCCCTAACTTTCGACTCAGTGCCTGCATCTATGGAAAAGGGGTAAGCTGGAGGAGATCATTTGAGGAGGGAGCAAGAGGCATTTGCAGAGTGCCCAGGGTGGGGGGGTTGCGGGGGGAATGCAGGTAAGATGCTCACTAAAGCTATTTCTCTTTTTCCTAGACTCTAGGTATCTCTAAAGTTTCCTCATTTATTGACCCAAGTATCAAAAAACAGCATACTAAGAGCAATTTTGTAGCTAGGATACCTACCTACAAAAATAATGAAACGTCCTATGCTACAGAGAGACTCAGAGAGAAAGAAAAGTCCCTTTGGAAACAGGCCATGATAGGATGGGATGAGGCCAGGGCATAGTCAGTGGGGCCTCCCTTGGGCTGCCATCGGCTGGCCAGCATTAAGTCAGCTGCACTGGCGACTGTCCCATCCACGGTGCCCAGTGATTTGTTGCTTGGAGGAAAGGTAGGCAAATGAGAGCTGAGAGAAAAATTTCCTGGTTTCCTTTGGAGAACACATTTTAATGGAATTCACTGTACACTTGGGCATGTGGTTAATAATACTCTTAAATGAAACACAGTGCTGGCTGCTGACTCTACCCAGTTCACTAAAACCACAGATAAATTAATATGGCAATGAAAATAAACCACAACAAAAAAAAAATGAGGAAATTCCAAACAGGAATGTAAATTACTGGTGCTCACTCAGCAACAGAAACCACCACTA